TCGTGTGTGATGGTTCCAGGTCTTGCTAATCAAATTGCCCAGTGGTAGGAGACTTGGATCCTCTTTTCTTCCGTCTCCTCTGGAATACTGAATGACAGTCTAAATATCAGGGGTGCTGGTTATTTGTCTGTGGTAGAAGTGAATTTTAACTCGGCTTGCTCTTCAGCATGGACGTATTGATGTAGGCATGTCATGGAGCCTGTCTGGTCAGCCAAGTTACTAGCTTTCAGCTGCTTTATGTGCATATTTTAGGGATTGCTTCCAACCTGAGAAAGCCCAGTCAGGTCACTGCAGGGCAAGGCAGAGCTATGTTCCCATACCCACCTAATGCTGACGCCACTTCCCTGCCCCACAAGGATCAGAAGGAATCCATGGGAATTGCTGGCTTCTGGCTTCTGCCTCTGTTTGGGGTGGCTGTGCAAAGGCAGGCTGTGCTTACTCATCTGGCTTCAATGCAGCCACACAATTGCCTCTTTCGAGGAAGGGAATTCATTAGTTTCTGTGAAGTGGCCTTGGATCTTTGGGCAGCAGGTGCTTCTATAGTGCAAACTGTTGCTGAATATTCAACAGTTGCTATACAAGTGTCTGGCCAACTGCCTGAGAAGCACTTGAAGTTATCCTGAGCATCCGATTATATAAAGTGCAAAGTACTTACAGCTTTAAAGCTATGTTGTGTTGGTCGCACTTTAACGTTCATTTGAGGGACTCTTTTATGTGAATCTTCCAAGATCATAAGCAGCAACATCTCTTTTGACTCAGCCAACAAAGGAGGGAACTGCCTAGCTGAATGAGAAACGGTGATTCATATTCAGGTCGTCAGAACCTCTTTCTCTTACAGGTTTCAGCTAATGACATGTACACTGGAAAAAAAATGACTCAGGATAGCAGTGTCTCCTAATCTTTAACATACTTTGAACTCAAGTTAGCTCTTTTAGGGCTATCTGAATAACACTTGTTCTTGCTAACCTTTAGTTTGGTACATGAAGTACTGTAAAGACCTAAACTGTGAAGGAATAATTTGAGAGGTTAAGCTGAGCAATCAGCCTTTTATTTTTCTATTTTTTTTTTTTTTTTTTTATAAGCATGTGCTAGATGGCATCTTGAAAGTATGGTCCTGTGAGAAACTGTGATCACTGAATAATTACAGCTGGCAGTTTTACTCAGTAAGGTGTGGATGCCTGTATGTTGTTTACTAATGACGTGCCCCAATCCTGACTTCTTGTAGTAGTTTTCTTAACCTGTTTTAGTTGTTTTAAATGTGCTTTATCTGTTTTCTTCTACTGGTTATTCAGGCCACAGAAGGAAAGCTTTTCATTAAATGTGTAAATGTGACAGTTGCACTGAAGACTGGTTTCACCGAGGGAGCTGAAGAGACTCCTCAGTGGTGCTGTCCAGGACCCATGCTTTACAGGGTTTCTGGGCTGCACATCAGATGTATTCTTGTCTGGAAACACTGCATTGCTGTAGTGATTCCCCACCCCTAAACTCTTAAAGCTGAATAGGTAAGCATGTGGTTCCTACCCACAGAAACAGTCATGCAGGCTTCAGCACAGTGCCTCACTGGTCCTAGTTTCTGTACATCTTGCTGAAAACTGTGATCTTTACTACTGATTGTAAGTGGACCTTGAGCACTTAAAAGCATGAATAAGCAGCTGCTGGAGCTGAGCCTCCCTGGCAGGACAGTTTGTCGTGCTGCATGCTTTGAAAGGGCTGGGGTCTTCAGTGTGTGGTTTGGCTGCCGGGGTGCTCAGAAGAGCAGCCGAGACATGCTTCCTAAACGTCCACTTTGATTCTGCAGTTCTGCGGGGTAGGTGCCAGATTTGCAGAGAACGGGGAGGCTGGCAGCCCAGGACGTGGTGTGCTGTGAGGAGGCAGCTGAGAGGGAGCTCCTCAAAGGAGCTTGGCTGGCCCATGTTCTTCATTTATCCAGTCCCCGTCAGCCCCTGAGCTCCCCTCAGCTCCAGGATGGGATCAGCAGAAGGGAGGACTGATGCAGAGAAATGACCACTTTCCTTGCACATTGTTTACTTACAGCAACATATGATGATTTCTGAACTTGGTCTAAAAATCCTGCTTGTCCAGACTTGTTGGTGGATTCAGTGTAGCTCACCAGGTAGCTTGGGGATTGGCTATGATAAGAAAGTAGCAGGTAGCCCGGGGGTATGAATTAAAAAGACAACTCACCCATAGCAGCATCAAAGCCCTCAATGGGCACTTAGGCAAACTTAAACTTGAACAAAAGGACTCAGAGATGCTATCTAGGGAGGATGATCTTGCCGATTTAGGAAGAGGACACCTGGACTTTGCTTCACCCCGCATGCCTTGGAAAGAGAGGACAATGTGAAGAAGACCACGTACTTCTCTCATTGAATAATTATAATAATCACACCTATTCCCCGAACTAATTGTAATAACCCGGCCTTACCTAATGAATATGTATGCTTTATTTGGCTACTTGCCAGAGACGGTGTACAGGCTTTGTGGAGAAATCCCCTTGCACCTCGGCCGGAATAAACATACCTGCTTTATAACTCTCTCCGAGTTGTAGAGTTTGTTCCTGCACGTCAGGACCAGTTCCAGGAGAGCTTCCAAGTCTTGCAGTGAGGCATTTCAGAAGCTGTAAAGCAGGTGTTCAGGCTTATGATGGGTCATTGCCTCCAAAAACTCTTTTCTTATCTTTTTTTTTTCATGGGTCTTAGAAGTGAAAGTTTAGGAGCACAGCAATTACACTTCAAAAAAGACTACATGGTATTGACGGGCATCCGTGCAGTGCAGTCTGTGCTGTAGCTATAGATCAGTACTCCAATATAAAGTGACAGGGAAGAAAAGTGAGCCCTCAACCTTTAGAGACGACACTACACGTTTAATTGGTAATAGACTTTTTTAAAAAAAGCATCTAGGCTGCTATTATTAGAAAAAGCAAATGTGCAGTGCTACCTATAGGGAACAAAAAGGGAGTCTTTCATGATCTTCTTGAGCTTTACTTTCTTGCTTTAATTTCTTCAATACCAGTGAGATTTTCTTGCTGTAAAAACTTGCTTAAGCAGAGACTTCTCAAGATCTCTGAAAAAGATGTGCTAATTGGAAGAATGGGGCTGGGTAAGAGCTGTTTCTTCCTTTCCTCTGATTTGCAAACTCCTGATTAAGGGATCCACTGTGCGCTCTGTGCCCCTCTCTTTCCCTCCTGGATCAGACTTTTACCAACTGGTACAATTCCGTAACAGCAATCAGGGCTTTATTGAATTAAACTTTTTAGGACAAACAGGAGCTCTGTGCCTGTGGGGCTTAGTGTGCAGGTGGAAACTGGGGAAATGTTAGATAAACAAACACTTCTGGATACTTCTGAAACACCTTAATTGCTCTTAACAATCATTACTTTTTCAGCACCTACTAAAAAGTTCTTACTGCTTGTTCAGTGTGTTTGTAGATCCCAAGGTACTAGAAAAGCCTCCAGATAACCTGCTCTGAGTATGTACCTAGAGATTCAAACACTGCAGGTAAAGCTGTCCTTCTGACTGCTCAGGTGTTCGTTAGTTAACTAGGTTTGAGCAGGTGGGGTTGTTTTGAATTTCTTAAACCTCTATGTGGTAGGAGTTTTCACAGTCATATAAATTCATATTTCAGGAAAAACTGGAAAGTGAGACCTGCATTTGTAATAGCAAGTTTTGCAGATGGTAAAAAGCTGCAGCTTCAGGCTGACTCTTCTCATGTTGAGGTGAAAAAGGCAGTGAGAATTGGTGTCATCAGCATAGAACATCACTAGTTGTGCAAAAGGTGACTTAAGCATCTGTGTCTCTAGCACAGGAGTGTCAAGGCTACAGGAGTTGGCTGGAAGCCGTGCTGCTGCAAGCAGTGCCGCTCTCGCAGCCTCCCAGTGAACGTGCTTGCCAGAAGGGCAGCTGGTGCTTGCCATGGTGCCAGGCTGCCAAGTGCCTTGGGATTCCTGGGGAAGGAGCTGGGCGGGATGACAGTTGGGCCTAAATACAAGATGTATCCGTGAATGAAATGCTTCATTACCGCTAAAGTAAGCCTTAAATCCGTGATTGTCTTCACATGCTGGCAGTAGTTCAGTGGTAAGCTGTCTGTGGAGCTTGCAGGTGAGCTTTGGAGTGGAGCTCTGAGTCAGAGCAGTTGCAGGACTTGTTCTGGAGTCATGAGGTATTGTGTCACGCTGGATGGGAATTGTCAAAGCAGTATTGTGTTGTTGTGTATCAAAGGACAGAGTAAAATCTTAGGCTTTGTTTTTTAAATTAAGAATTTTTATTTGTCCCTCAGGGACAAGCAAATAGAAAACAGCTTGTCTTGGCTATTGTGAGTGTTCATGGGGCAAGAAGGGGAGGGAGGGGACAAACAGCAAGCGCAAAGAGTTGCAGTAATGAGAATGACGTCTTATTTTAGTTCATACTTAAACAAGACATGGTTCCAGGAAGCAGGAACAGATGGCTTTGGCTTTTTTTTCCTGCTCTCTTATATCTTTGATTGTCACCAAGACTTACCATAAATGTTTTAAATAACTGCCAACTCTTTTTACACCATATATATTTTTGCCCATCCTCAAAGGCAGAGTAAACTGTTAGACTTACCTGGCTTGCTTTTGTTTAATCGTTAATATTAATCACAGGACTGTCTCTGAGTGACTTTCTATTATCTTCTTTCAAAGGATTCCTCTTTTTATAATAAAACTTTGAGGATATTTATTACTTCAGGTACATTTTGTTAGTAAATTGGGACAAAGCTGGCTGCATTTTATCCTTGGATGTTGTGTCTCTCTCTCGTATAGAAGGGTCAGAGTCAGTATTTGAGCCCTTCTGGAAGGTGTAAGCTCCCTTAGGGGCTTGCAGGAACTGGCTTTGTAAAGCAGGTCAACCATTTTGTTACATGGTTTTTATTCACTATCACTCTTGCTTACCAGGGCATCCAGAGAGTGGGTTATTGCTTCTGTGTCCTCTTAACTGCCCCGAAGGATAATCTGAATTGACTCCCAGTTCTTCTTTTGCCAGGGTGGTGAAATCCAGGACTGTGCCTACTTGGACAGCGAAAGCGTCTACAGCGAGTTGGAGCTCTTCCCTGATGACGACGCGATGACTCTAGCACAGCAAGAGGTTCACCATGAGTCGGATATGGACAGTGCTATTGAGAGTGCCCAGAGCTCAGAGGCCTCCGACGTGTGTCGGAGCGAGGAGAAGGACGGTGTGCTTGGTGGTCTCTTTCTGCCTGGTGACAAGTGAGTGGTGGTTTTGCCCCGTGGCAGCCCTGTTCGAGTCATGTGCAAAAGGACCAGGGAGGACGGAGCCTTTATGTGATTAATCCCTACTGTGGGAGGCTGAGGATGCCTGACTTAGTATCCATTTTCACTGTAAGGGAGATGGATGTCCAGGTCCTCTGAGTGGCTTAGACAGTCTCGGCCCTGTCTCTCTGGGGCTTGTTCTGTGACCACTCATGGGACTTGCATGTTGTGTTTTGACCTGAAAGTGTTGGCTCTCTCCAGAATGGATCTTAGAATCTTCTGTGTTCCCATAACCTTTATATGCTGGAATTAAAACAAATGCTTCCTGCAAAGCAGTGCAATATGGGGAATGCTGCTTTAGTCTTTTGTACATCTAGTTATCTGAAGGTGTGGGTGCTGCAGATTTGCTTTGCAACATCATGTACCAAGTTAATTCTGTGTGTTTCTAATTTTCCATAACCTTTAGTGTGCAACAGTAAATTGTGTTTAACACGGGGTGTCCTGGCATGTGCGTGTGTAACCATAGTTTGCTGTTAACACAAGATTGTCTCTGTAATCCTGACTTGACTCTTCCCAGCTGTGTACCTGGGAGTGTTGGTAAAAGCTGACTGGGGGGGGAAAAGGACCCAAATTGATTTAATCCTGCTTTGAACTGAGTTAATGCAGTACTACAAGACAGAGCTCAGCTGGGCTTGCTTTCTAAGCCTCTGTGCCGTCTTCCCTATTTTTGGCTTGTCATCTTGATTTGTGCCTCTTGAGCTTCTTTCATTGCTGAGCCAGTCCTCCTCCTCTCTTCTGGGCCTCCTCGGATGCTCTGTGCAGCCTCATTCCTACCTTCTAGAATTTCTTAACTAGCAGAGATCTGGTCTTCTCCTGTTTGCCTAAGCAATCCCAGAGACTTTATCAAGATAATTCCCATTTTCATCAGCTCTCTATCAAACTTTTCTTCTTGCCTTGCTGTTCCCAGTTCTTTGAAGCACCCATCCCTTTTACCCATACTGTGTTTGAACTGAGTATCTTTCCTCCCAGCTCCTGTGAAGGGGATGGGGAAAGCATTGTGCACCCTGTACCCGCGTTCTAGGGGGAAGCAGGAGCTACTAAGAGCTACTGTGCAACTGCTAATAGATCTTGGTTTATCCTCTGAAACCTCCTCAGCTTTGGTAAATTTGTGGGAAAACACTTGGGAAGCTTCTGCTTTTTACCTTGGCCAAACCACAATACCTGATTGTTGAAGAAGCAGGTGGGTTGTGTACGGGGTGTGTCAGCCCGCTGTGAAGTCCTGCCCTGAACAACAGGAAATAGCTTTAAAAAAAACCCAAACAAACATGAAAACTTCCTTCAGAAAGCGTTAGAATGGGGAAAAACAGCTGCTTTTAGCAACTCCCTTGAAAATGTGTGATTTCTAGACAGTTTCCAGCCTGTGGCTGATTATGAGTTCAGGATCTGCCCTGAGCATGGACTGTTTGAACCCAAGCAGTTTAAAGTTTGGAAAAGCTTACAAATAACTACGAATTAAAAGTTCTAAGCAACATTACCAGGTGGGTCCAGCAGTGGGGACTGCATAGCTGCCATGAGAGAAACTTTGCCAGGCAATACATGAGGAATAGTGGGCTACTGACCTCCAGTCTGTTGGGAAGTGGTGATGTTCCAGGGCTGTTATGCTGGAGAGCAGATTTTATGGACAAGTATATATTATCATCCCAACTGAGGACTAGTCATTAACCTCCATTCCTAGTGGAAGTGTTATGAGGAACTTCTTCCTGAACTGACTTGGTGTAACAACATAGAGATGCAAACAGCAATTGCAGTTACAAGGATCACAGTCACCCAAAACCTTACTGGCACACAGTATGTCTGTGGTGCAGCAGCTCTTTATGAAGAGATGTTAGTGTGATGGGTTGAGCGTCTCACTAATCCATCTCCCAGCCAAGGAGCCTTGTTAGATAAGTTTGATCTATTTCTAGTATGAGTATTCCTATCTTCATGATCTTCATCCTTTAATAGTGTGCCAGGCTTGACTTGCCCTAATTTCTGTTAATGTGACTTGGATAAATGAATTGCAGGTTATAAATGGATCTCATCAAAACAGGAGAAACAAAAGAGCATACATCTGAAACGCTGGCAGGCTTCCTCTTCTACTAATTGCTTTTGGAGGGAAGGGATATGCAAATAATGCTTGCACCATCCGCCAAAGCACTGTGGCATCTCTTGTTTACAGCTCGCAAGTGTAGCATTACAGGAAGAGGAATCTCCCTGTCTGAAAGTACAAAGGCTCAAGGTAGACTCAAAAGAAACTTAGGAGGCAATACTGTTGAGCTACTGGAGAACATCAACTGGCAGCTACTGACCCATGGCTCAGCTAGAGGAACTGAAGATGCAAGCACTGTGCACTCAAATAAAGGGAGTGAAAATTAACCCAGTCTGTACAAAGCGTCAGCAGACTGAATCAGTGCCTTGTCTGTGTTGCAGAGAGGCACTGGATTCTGCTTTTGTAGTAGAAACAGTAACGTGTCAGGTAACTCCAGGGCTTCACAAGTGGAGTGTGTGTTTCAGGCCTTAGATGTATGGTTTTGGTAGGGAGAGGTTTCTTTATGAGAACTTGTATGTGAATTAATGGGCTTGTCTATTTGAATCATTACTGAGGTGGGAGCTGAGCAAACGGGTGTAAAATACCTGTCTGTGCAAGACAGCACCCTGCGTCCCTGCAGGCTGGTCTGGACTCTGGGCAGGAGACTCACCGTGCACCCTCTGCAGCAAACTTGCTCTGTAGTATTAGATGTGCTGTGCTCAAAACTGCTCTGCCAGCTGCTTTCCTATGGTGCCTGGCTCTGGTGATTACCTGTGTGCCCCTCTCTGAGGTCACAGGGTCCTGCCATTCCCTACCTGTTAGGCATTATCTTAGGTACTTCTCTGGTAGTAAAGCAGCCTTTTCTTGTGGTCCATAGCTCCTCTGAAAGACACATTTTGGCACGATGGAAGGGAGGGCAGGAACTCAGCCCCCATTAGGTCACATTGGTGGCTTTAGTGACTCTCTGGCATGCAGTGAGCTGAAGTTTGTTTCTGACCAGAGAGTGGCTGGAACTCATGGGATGTGGGAAAGATTTTATGGGGATTACTGGGAAGCTGATTGTTGAACAGAGTGGCAGCCTCTGTCTTGCACATGTTCCCCTCCCTATCCCATGCATTTCGGAGTTGTCTGCACAATTCCTGCATTCAGAGCAGAAGTCCCATAAGCAGCAGTCTTCACCACCACGTGGAAATGATGACTGAGGATTGTTGAGGTGTGCTCTTTAAAGTGAAATGGTTTGTGTTGATCCAAACCTGTCTCACAGGTAGCTTGTTTGTAGATTCTCATGCTCTTGTCTTTCAAGGCACTGTGTCAAATGCACATCAGGTGTGTTTAGCATTTAGTTTTTTAGCACAAAGTGGGTTACAACTTCAAGTGAGGGGAGAAGCTGTGAAGGTGGAAGATTCCATGTGAGGTGAGATGCTATCAAAGTCGGCCTTCGAGATGTTTTGACCTCTTGTTTCAGGTCAAGTCCTCACAACCCTTCTGCAGCATCTGACCTCTCAACTTATTCCACCGCCTCTCTGATCAGTAATGAAGAACAGTTTGAAGACTATGGGGAAGGAGATGATGTGGATTTTACACCCAGTAGCCCATGCCCTGATGATGAGACCAGAACCAACGCCTACTCTGACCTTGGCTCATCTGTATCTTCCAGGTTGCTCCTTATTCATTAACAAACAATTTTTCAGTTTTGTTCTTCTCTAAGCATGGATGACCATACCAGAGTTTATACTGGTTGCATAGACCCACCTTAAAAGCAGAATGTTATTGGTTCGTTTTCTGCCCTCCAATTGACAGACTACATTTAATAATAAGAGCTATAGCAAATACGTTGTGTCTCATAACCTCTGTTGGGTTCTGTTGAAATAACTGGGCTGTTTTCAGCTTGTGGAGATTTCTTTCTATTGCAGGCAGTATATTTCACAGTTAGGGGCTAGTATTGGAAGTTATCTGCTGCAAGCTGGAGCCCAGCTTAGTGCTATGCACGAGCCCTGATACAGTGGACAGAAGACGTGCAAGAGAGCTGTTTCTCTTTAGTGTTCTGATACTACAAATCCTTAGCACTGACCTGGAAGGTGAAGTGCTGTATATGGACAGGAGGGGTTTGTTTGGAACAAGCATCTGTATTGACTTTGAATGTCTTGGAGAACATAAGCAAGTAGCTGCTGTCTGTTAGGAGCTGGAAATGCCACTGCAGTCCACCAGTTTCCTGCATGTCACCTCAGTCTCTGTAGCTCTTGCGTCCTGTGACCAAGTCAGTTGCTGATTTAAAATCATTCCCCAAGCAAGGGAATGGATGAGCAGGGCTGGGGAAGAGCTGAGCATGAAGATGCTCCAGGATTTGTCTGCTTGGATCAGTATCACAGGAAGGTCTCGTGCTTCACTGCTAACACAGGACAAGCTCACTGCATCCCTCTGTTCCGCATGCAACCCCCATGTGTTCCCCTGTTTCAAGCACTTCTGCAGTCCAACCTTGCCACTCTCATGCATGCAGAGCCAGCACCCCTCTCCACTGCCCTTCATGATGATGGCTTGTGTCCTTCATCCCCTATTTCCTCAGGTTTATGCAGCCCTTTCCATTCTCATTCTCGGGGCTCTGTGTACTTCATGCCATGGTTGCTCTCTTTTATTTGGGTTTATTTTCTCTTTATCATGCCAAGAGCTACTGTTATCTCCTCTTTAGACCTATGTCCACTTCTTCCTTTCTCCTCATTCTAGGGTTCCTTCTGTCCTACCATCTGAGGGGGTTTGTGTGACAACTTCTTACCAGACCACTCTGTTTTTCATCTTCCTGTCTTTCTCTTGGAGAAGAGACTCTTCAGGTTGCATGCCAGGCTCTAGTGGGAAGATGGGCAAGATGAGAAGGGACATTGCTGAGGGCAGAACACAGTAATGTAGCTGCTTTTGCTACATGCATCGCATGGACTCTATACCTTTTGCTATTCTTCCAGTCACCCAAACTTATTCTTTCCACTGACATCTAGAACAAGTCCTCTGTAAGGCCTCAACTCAGACAGGTAGACTTGCCCAAAGACTAGTATTCTCCATCATCAGCTCTTAAGTTAGAGGAGCTGCGATTAGAGGTGGCTCCCCAAGTCCCTTGTCTGTGATTCTGACACACAGTCGAGAGGAAAACCTGTTGTGAGTTGGTTACTATAGCCAGTAACATCTTTCCTTTCCTGCAAACAGTGCTGGCCAAACACCCCGAAAAATGAGGCATGTTTATAACAGCGAGTTACTGGATGTTTACTGCTCACAATGCTGCAAAAAGATAAATCTACTCAACGATTTGGAAGCCAGGCTGAAAAACTTGAAAGCAAACAGGTAAGCAGCCTATTGCACTGCTTTTACCAATGCCTCCTTAAAATGGGACTAGCTAGAGCAGGAGGAAAGGAAAAAGCCCTCTCCTTCCCTGTATCCCATTCTGTCTTGCACATGTTGTTCTTAGAAAAGAGTAAGAAATTCAGACCTTGACATCTAGCCTGAACCAAAATGCTGTTCATCAGCTAGTACTTTTCTGACTTAAGTTGCAGACAGCCTTAATAAACTCAAATATTTTAATCAATGAGCTCTTTGATTGCAGAATGAGTGATATTTCCAGGAATTTTTCCCAGGAAGTGGGCTCTGCTGTGCTGTTTATTGCAGATCTGTGGTTAGCTACTGTTTTCTCCAGGTGGGAAGGAGTGACCTGGCAGATCCTCGCTAATAACCTTGTATACACCCCTCCTAAAAGCTAGTGGTGAGCAGAGGTACTTCATTCCTGTGGGATTTTTTTTTGTCCTCAGGGGAACTTGGAAAAATGATGAATCCTATAGCACAAGTTGCTTTTGGGTTCTTTGCAATTTCAGCTTTTTCCTTACATTTCAATCTCCATCCACTTTCAAACTGTGCTGAGAACTTGGAAAGAATCCAGCGCTTCCAACAACCATCTAGGGTTTTTGAAGGAAATTATTTGGTGGGCTTGTAGCTCCCCCTAGAAACTGAATGTAAATCCTGCCTGTCCGCATAATCCTTGGCACAGAGCGCACTGCACTGCTGCTTTTCTTGATGACACAGCAGCGTAGTACTTGATATGAACGATGCTCCTGCTGTAGCAAGGAGTCTTCTAACACCCAGACCATGACCTGCTAGGGCTTTGGTAGTGTAGTGAGTGCAGCTGTATACACCTGGCTGAAAGAGCGATGCTCTGACAGAGGGGGGAGTGTGTGTGCACAGAGAGATGCGACATCCTCTTATCAAGAGATGCGGCTGGATGTTATGATTTGGTTCTAGTGCTGTTGTCTGAAGTCTGGTCCTTCGTTTAGGTAATACTGGTCTCTGGCTGCAAAAGGGAACTGTAAAAATGGAAAGCATCTCAGTTCCTGTGGTGAACTGGGAAACATTATGGGGAAGGATAAACTAACTTGATAAAATCATCTAAAAACAGGGAATCCAGAATAAATGTCCATCACTAACTCAGTGTCCATTTGTGGTGTTTCTAGTGTGAGTTTCACTCTGATTTACACTGACAGACCTCTGCTAAATATAACAATATTTGCAAATTGACTTATTAATGATCACAGTAATTTGTGCCTCCACTCATCTTCACATTGTTGGTAACTGCAGCTTTTAATTAAGATGTCTACTGTTCACAGTATCATTTTTTTACTTCACTAAGAAAGTATTAAGTCTCAATTCATCTGGGGTTTAAGTTAAGATTGAATCCAACACTGATTAAATAAATGTATAATTCCTGTATCATTCCTTCTGTATCCATGTAGCCCTAACAGGAAAATATCAAGCACAGCTTTTGGAAGGTAAGAGTCTTCAACTTTTTTATGAATACGTGTGGAATCAGCTGTGACAATTCTCTAACTGGGGGTGGGAGGAGAGAGGAGGAATAAGTTTAGGAAAACAAAAATGTGCCAAGACAAGTTTTCAAGGGAAGGGACCTGTGTTTGGATAGGGATGTTACAGAATATAGAAGCCACTGCTAGTCTTGGAGCAGGCCCCTGAACTGGAAAGAGCTTTGTTAAGAACAGATGGTTGCTTCCTCATCTGCCAACTTTCTTCCTTTATGTTGCTATTTTATTAGTCCAGCTACTGCTTCTTTCACCCTCATAACATGGGCCTTATTCTTGCCAAAATGCAAAGAAAAACAAGAACATCCCTTTAAAAAGGGCATACAGAATTGTGATCTTCCTTTGACTGAATGATCTGGCCCTGGACTGAAGAGGGCTGTAAGTTTCAAGAATATTTTAGATAATCTCCAGTGTTACATATTCTGACACTATACTGTAGTGGAAATTGCTTGAGATTTTTTTTTTTTAAGAAGTTTTTGCTGCATGAAATTTTCTAGCTTAACTACCAACTAGTGCACAGTGGTGACCTTATTTTAAATTTCTAATAAGGCAAATACAACTCAGTACATAGTGTGAATAAGGCCAAGTAGTTTTTAAACTATGTTAATGTTGGTAGCAGATCCTATCAAAAGGAACAGAGAATTCCCTCCCTAGAATTAATGTCACTGGTTGTGCTCTGTATGACTTAATTTAGCAATCAGTGTCTTGTAAGACTTGTGTTTAAACAGTTGTAATTGTAATTGAAATGATTGCACAGATTTTAGCATCGGATCTTCAAAGTGCAAAGCAATGCTATAAGTACCCAGCATCTTTTGCCTCGCTCCTCATCAAACAAAATAATTATCCTTCTGATCTTTCAGACAACTCTTCCACAACAGTAACTTCAGCAGCAGTAATGGCAGCACAGAAGACCTGTTCAGAGACAGTATAGACTCCTGTGACAATGATATCACTGAAAAGGTGAGAAGCTCTGTGCATTGTGATTAATGTACCCAACAAATCCTGCTGGAGATACGTGTCAATTGACAGAGCTCTCTTGCTCACAGTTACCAGTGAACTGAAGTAGTTCATTCAAAATGTCCTTCATATTCCATTAATATTATGGCTTTGCTTCACAAAAATGCAAGAACTGTGCAAGTCCAGATCTAGGTATTGTGTTAGTACTTTACTGTGTATTTGTGTTGATCACCTTCAAGGAAGATGCAGGGTCTGGGGAACTCAGAATTTCAGAGCTTCATTTTGTTGCTGGCTTTGCAAGGAAATATGATCCCTTTAAAAAGGGTAGCAGAGCTAAATATCAATTACAAACAGTGAAGGGTGTATAAAGAGAGATTTGGTTCTTTTCCACTTCCCCTTCCAGGTAACATACCTTGAAAAAAAGGTGACAGAACTGGAGAATGATAGCCTGACAAATGGTGACCTGAAGAGCAAACTGAAACAAGAGAACACACAGCTAGTTCACAGGTAATAAAGCACGGAGCCAGGTCTCTTTATCATCTTAGAGCAAAGGTAGAACAAAGTTGTAGGGAAGGAATATCTCTGCCTGTAAAATATGACCAGGTCTTCTGCCTTAATGCTGACAGATAAGATAAGGCTTCATTGAGAAGTCCAAGTGGAATAGTGCTGAATTTTCAGCAGATAGAGGCCTTCCAAACAAGTTTCTTAGTACAGAGATGTTACTGACTTGTACAGAGCAAACTCTTCTGTTATAAGAGAGGTTACCACTGGGGTTTTTGTCTTCCATGTAGCAAGAGCAGAAGGCTGGGTGGTAGTCCCAACTTTGAGACTGAGAATAAAGAAGTAATAGATGAACTCATACTATCTAATTCTATACTTACTGGGAAAATTAAATACTGGTAGAGATACTGGGAAGAGGTTAAATGTCCAGAGAGATGGTGAACTAGAATGAAATGAAGAAATAGGGAGGAAAGAGAGAGGCAATGAAGTTGCATGCTATTTTCTTTTTTTTTTTTTAAAAAAAAAAAAAAAAAAAAAAAAAGTGTACTTGTGTAGCTGTTACTGAAATGAGATCTGGTTTCCTTAGAGTTCATGAGCTAGAAGAACTATTGAAAGACCAAGAAACATCAGCAGAACAGACCTTGGAAGAAGAGATAAAGAGACATAGAGAAGCATATAGCAAGTACGAGAAAGAGAAAGGCACTGAAATTGAACTGCTAAATACAAGGTAACGAACATCTCGGTGCCACCCAGAACAGAGTACAAGTTTTCTTCATTTTTCCTTTGCACGTAAACATAGGCTGTTCACAGCCAGACAGTGCACAGATGGTTACAGGTTACTAGTTCTATAGAGTAGCTGTGCGGTTTCATGTCTAATGCCCAAAAGCTTGGAGGATGCTTTACATTAATGCTTTAATCCACGTGGCCCATGTAGACAGCTTAGCTGGATATTTGGCATGGGTTCAAGGAGGGAATTGTGACCAGCTGTAGCAAACACTTGTTTCTTTCTACTTGATTCTTTTAAGATACCTGTTGTTAGGAGCATAAGAATCTGAGGGTCATTTTTGGCCCTAAAACCAAACAAAAAGCACCCAATAGCTCATGATAAAAAATGCTAAGATTGGAAAGATTTTCTTGTTTGGTCTTTCTACCAAGTACAAGTGAAATGGCTTCTTAGAGCATGCTACTTTGCATGGCTGCATTCTCAAAGAGGCACCTGCTGTAAGATTTTTGTTACTGACACAGGGTTCAGCAGCTGGAAGAAGAAAATGGTGAGCTGAAAAGCACTGTCACACGACTGAAATCGCAAACGGAGAGATTAGACGAGGTAATAAAACTTCTGAGTTCTTGAGCAATTTAACGGCAGCTTAATTTGTGTAAGAGCAAATTCATATAGTAATTGGCCCAATTTCTTTCATTTGCCTTCCCTAAAAAAGACTATTAATGGAGTCGGAACGTTGGTCACCTTTAGTGGCAAGAATGCCCTGAGACACATGCCAGCTTTGTGACCAGCTGTGTCAATAGATTTGTCTTATAAAACTGAAGATGGCTCATGCACTTGCAAGCTAGCTATGAAGTTCCCCATTTATTCTAGGAAAGGCAACGCATGTCAGATAGGTTGGAAGACACTAGTCTGCGACTGAAGGATGAGATGGATTTGTACAAGAGAATGATGGACAAGCTGCGGCAGAACAGACTGGAATTTAACAAGGAGAGGGAAGCCACACAGGAGGTAGGTGTAAAGAGGGATGTAAGAGCAGGCAATAACATCTCATCTGCATGGAGGCCTATCTGAAAAAGAACTGACAGACAGGATGAATGCTGAAAATACAACATCCAGTGAATTTATTACTGGATTGTGTTTCTTTGGGAGGGGTACCCATAGGGTGATGAATGCTGCAAAAATACCTAATAAATGACCTTGCAGCCTTGAATGTCTGCCCTAACATTTCCTTTCCTATGTTTGCAAGGGGAATTGTGCCTCACAGACATGAAGCTTAGAGGTCAGAGCCACTTCCAGCTCTGAAGCAGTTTAAGTGACCTGTGCTTCCATAGAAGAGCTAGTGGCTGTCCTGTAGGGCTACCCGGCCTCAGCCAGGCTCACAGAGTGCTTGTGTCACCGTACAGAGGTGACTGCTGCCAGGGAGGGCTGGTGGTGCAGGGACTGGAGAGACATGGCCTTCTTGCGTGCCCACAGCTCATTGAAGACTTGCGGAAGGAGCTGGAGCACTTGCAGCTGTACAAGCTGGAGTGTGAGCGTCCTGGACGTGGGAGAAGCTCTTCGTCCAGCGTGAGTGAATTCAACGCCAAAACCAGAGAGGTGGAAATGGAGCATGAAATAAAACGGCTGAAGCAGGTGAGCAGGGAAGGGCCTCTCGATCCATGTGCGATGTACAGGACTGCTTTGCCTATAGCTCCAACCCCTAGCACACTGCCTTTAGATTTTGTCCCTCCCTTCTCACACAGGCACAAGACCCACATTGCTTCTGTCTACGCCTTCTCTGCACAGACAATGTAAACTGTGTACATTGGAAACGCCTGTGATTCGGGCAGGGAGGACTTGTCACTGGTGGCAAGAATGTTGCTGTTAGCTTGCAGCCTTACCATATGTCATCCAAGCTACCTGTGATTTTAAAATTGTATTGATTTTAATTGAACCTTTTAGGAAGAACTCAAAAGCAACGTCTTTTCATCCTTACACAGGAGAATCAGAAACTTCGTGACCAAAATGATGATCTTAATGGACAGATCCTAAGTCTTAGTCTTTATGAAGCTAAAAATCTCTTTGCAACGCAAACAAAAGCCCAGTCACTGGCTGCTGAAATTGATTCTGCATCAAGAGATGAGGTAATATGCTTTTTAAATCAAGTACTACATCCAAAAATACACATTCTTCGATGTAATTAACTGTCAAGGTTGAACTATCTGAAGCTGACAAATGAACAACAGAAAAATATGCTTTGCTAGGAGTTCAAGAGTGTTCTAACAGTGTCTTTGGATGCTTCTTTTAATATAACTCTTCCATTTGTCTCAAAAAAAATGGAATTATTACAATCTTGGTGAACTGTTTTACAATTAATTTATTTGAGTGTCTTCTATCTTACAGGGTACTGTGGTATTATGACATTAATTACATACAGAAATTACCATATCTAGTTACTTAAATTTTTTCTTTCTGTTCTAGAGTTACTTCTAAGTTACTTCAGTAACAGGCTCTCTAAATTTAAGTTATATATTTCCTGTAGCAGAGCTGAATTCTTGGAGAAAGTAGGTAATGTGCAAGTAATAAGCTGGAAGATATTGTAGGAGACTCATTTCTACATGGACTGAGTCAACCAGTATAGTTTCCTTTAAGCTCCCAGAGAGGTCATGAGATCAGGCCAATGGATATGTAGGAGCTTCCAGGGAAAAATACAGGTTAGTGATGAAGGAGATTAAAAGCAATTGTTTGCCTTTTACGCTTCATTTCTTCTGGACAGAACTTTCCATTTCTTCTTCAAGAGGAGTCCTGAGACAGACCTTTTTACCCAGTCTGTACTTGAATGACCCTGTTAGCCTTAGCTCCCAGGCAGTCCCTTGAAGTAAAGTGCATACTTGAGTTTCTTGCTGAATCAGAGCACTGTGAAGAGAGGCTCTCTAATTGTTGAACTCTAATTAGGTAAAAGCAAATTGGGCTTTTGCTGTTGTCAAGAAAAATCTTTGTTTCTCCTTCTGAATCTCATGACACTGGCTCATGTAAAGAATACTCAGCACTCCCCCTCTAAACAAGAATAGTGCCTTACAACTGTGGCCCTGGCTTAGTAAACCTCACAGACCTGCATAAACTTTTCCCATTGTGCCATTTTTCCTGTATAATCAAAATGAAGGTAAGAAACTGCAGATTCAAAGTGGGACTTCTGTAAAGGCTATTGAAAATGGACAACCAGGTCACATTAGGTTTAGGAGCATCTGGGGCTCTGACACTCCTGGGCAGGTTTGTCAGTTTGGATTTAAACATGCAGAGTATAAAAAGCAAGCAGTCTTCATCTTTGGGGAGTTGGAGGGGCCTTTCACAGCTCAAAGGTCTAGTGAAACACATTATTTAATATAGAACATCAAATATTCAGTGGGGTTGTTCTTGAGTATGTTGCTGTGTTGTTTGGGGGTTTTTTGGTAGGGTGTTTTTGAGAGGGAATATGCACATGATACAGAGGCAGCCCGTATTGTTCCCAGTGCAAAACATCGAAATCCTGTTGTGTTCAGCAGCCTTTCATGCAAAGTCCTTTAGATTTCAGTAGATAGGGAAAAAAATTGTCATGAAGCTCTTACACTGAGTTGAGGAAGCTCATGGCTGGTGTGGATGCAGGATGGATTGTTGTGTTATATGGGGAATTTGTTTCAAATGACCTGTGAAAAGATCCCTGGTGATAACTGTTCACCACATTCCTTAATAGCAAAGATCTTCAACAGTTTCTGATACAGATACAGGAGGAGTTGGAGGTAAAATATCTACCCATCACAAAAGGGAATTGGTGATCCTGAGCAGGCGCTAGACTCTCACCTGTCTGAATTTCATGCTATTATGTAAACTAATGAGAATATTTTAAGAGTCCTGTCCCACAACTTATAAATGTGTTTCAGCTCATGGAAGCCCTTAAAGAACAGGAAGAGATAAATTACAGATTGCGACAGTATATGGACAAGATCATTTTGGCAATCCTAGACCACAACCCATCTATCTTGGAAATAAAGAATTGAAGAGAATGTGAGAAGGAAAAGCAGCAACTGCCTGACATTTCTGCACATGCCACTGGATCTAAACAACACTCTGATACTGTAAATTAATATATAAATATATATATATATATATATACAGTATGTGTGAGTGTGGGTGCGCGGGTGTGTTTATATGATGTTTGGTACACTGTTAATTGTCATTGAATTGGCTTGGTTAGACTTTTTCCATGCACTTTCAATACCTGTGATAAGATGGATACTGTATATTAATGTAATAACAATATAACTGGATCATGCTGTTTTAGATACTGGACAAAATGACTCTACCTCTAGTTGTAAAGGTGAAAAGGACAATGGAAACATATGGATGTGGCCCTAACTTTAGGAGCAAGAATTGTTCTTTCGTTCTTCCAGGAATTTGGGTACCACAGACCAATTAACATACCCAGGTTCAGTTCCTGACTGGTGCTGACTGTGTAATTTCCTATTTGATTTTGTTTTAGTACTTAAACCACACATAGGATTAAAAAAAAACCAACAAACTTTGGGGAAAAGGGAAGACACAAAGTAAGAGGGAAGAAGGGGAAGATATTGCAGAATTGTTGCTATTTGTGAAGAATCACCATCCACTTGTTTGCCACTGTCAGCACAAAGTGCTTTTTATGTAAGATCACTTTGGAGCTTGCTTTGGGATGCTCTGAGCCCGCCTGCTCTTTAGCGTGTGTGCGCATGTGTATTTTTTATACCAAGGTCCCTATAGCATTGAAGCTAAGAAGCTCTTTAAATCCGTTCCCCTATTTTCAGGGGTTTGTCATGGGCCATTGAGATGAATTCTGGGATCCTGTCCCTTCCCTCACCCTTAATTTTAAAGATATCATTGAATGAACATGTTCTTACAAATAAAGAAGTCAAACAAAAAAACAATGCATGAAATAACTCACTATAGGTGGAGGAGGAGCAACCCTTGAAATTACATGTTGAGTTTCTTTCCCACCCCAGATACACAACACTCTTTTGAAAGGCACAATTTGTGGTCAAGCTGTGTAGAGGACCAGCTGGATCCTAACACAGTGGTAGAGAGAAGTCTGATGTGGAGTGACTTTTACCTACAGGGCAGTAAAAAGATAAAGAGCTTGGTCTTGCAGAAGTTGCCAATCCAGACTGAGTACACACACGCATATCTAAAGCTCTGAACAGGGAACACATCCTGATTTAGATGAGCAGTTGTGCAGGTGCTTAACTTTAAATGTGTACTGTGACTGCTCATAGAAGTCAGTGGGACAGAACATAAGCTTTAAAGTTGAGTGTATGCTTAAATGCTGCCTTAAATAGGGTTGGACTTCAACATGTGCCTGTGTTCTCCTGAGCTGGATCTGTGTACTGTAGGGCTAGGACCTTTTTAATTAAAAATGTAGCTTATATAAGGTAGCTCATGGAATTGTTTGGATAGTTGAACGCTAAAAGAAAAAATTTTATTCCATGCACTTTTAAAAAGTATTTCACACTTTCGATTCACACCAACTGACACAGAAAAATAGGCCCATGTCTGGCTTTCCCCAGTGCATAGAGATGTTTCCCCTATTGAATATGCTCCCCAGAAGAATGTTACAGTAGCAATGACTGTGCTTTTCTGTGTATTTCTTGCTGTTGGTAGTGTCTTGCCCCTAGTATTCTCTTGATGTATCTTGGTGTGTGTATATGTGATGCATTTTTCCTGAATTTGAATACATAAAACATGTATTCAGTTATGGATGTAAATATATATATATTTTTCTGCAATCTCTGTGCTTTTGCCTTCAGTGATGTGTTACTGGAGTGATGGGAAGAGGGGAAATACTGAAATTAGGCTTTCTTGAAGGCGAGAAAATAAAAACAATTTGTTTCTGTGTATCTGCATTAGGCAGGGATAAAGTAACTGGAAATCAGAAGGGACCAGAGGAATAACTGTGGGCCACAACACCCCAGTGCACAAGGACGTCTGTGTTCTGGGAGAAATGGCCATGTCTTGTTCAAACAGTGATGTCTCAGGACTGGTTTCCTGAGGCTCTAGGGTAATCTAGAGGAAGGGATTTAAAGACGACTACTTTGCCACCTGAGGATGCTATAAAATGTCCTGTACTAAACTGCAGCAGCTTCTCTTTGTGGAGAAGCAGGTCAAACACCGTGGATGCCCCACACCTCTGCCTTTCCCACCTGCTGCTGCTTCTGGATGTGCCACCCAGAAGGTAGGAGAGGAACAGTTAAGCCAGCTTGGCACTGCCCACAGCTCCCTGCCTACAGGACTCTTCACCTGCACTTTAGTGATGGCATTTCCCTCTGCATGATGCTGTCTGTGGGTTGTGCCAAGGACTTTGCTCTTTTTATAGGCCACAGAGAACTGTTTCAAATTGCCAGGTGGCTGTTGGTAACCTGCTGGGACAAGCAGGGCTGGACGAGCTGACCGCCTGTGGTAAGTTACATTTCTGTCCTGCTCATGCAGTGGAGTTTAATGAGTGAAGCTGTTGCAGGTCAGACTGGTGACTGAATGTTTTTCCCTAAATATTTTTAAGTAAACTGGATTTAGCTTCAAAATTTTAATAATCTAAATGCCATTCCCATTAGGGTAGAACATCAGCAAATGCTGAGGATTATTTCACTGAAAATTATGCTGGGCTTGGGAAGCAGAGAGTCTGGCTCACTTCACTGAGACCACAGAGCCCATGGACATGAACAGAAGACATGACTGTAGTGATAGCCAAGTTTTTGTGCAGGTAATTTTATGTAAGAGGCAAACAGTTGCTAATAGTGACAAATAGTTATTAAATCTGGCTGAAATCCCGAAAGCAGTATTCTAGCCAAGGGCACCCAGCAGTGGATTTTCTAAAGACTTGCAGGACTTCTTGTTTACCTCTGTACCCAACTGCTTTACTTTTTAGAAGCCCTTCCTTACTCCAGTATTTGCATTACAAGAGTTTTACCACCATGTTGGTGGTGATTGTAGCTTTGTTTTATTGCATGAAGGAATTGTACTTCTGCTCCTGTGGGGCCCTCGGTGCGGTACTGCTTTCTGTTACTGTTCAGATGTGTATCCAGATACTTGCTGTGTTTGATAAATAATGTGAGTTGGCGGTAGGAGAGGCTTTTCACTGGCTTTTACATTTTCCTCTAAGGTATCCACCACTAAAAATAATAATTAGCAATTGCATTCTTAGACTAACTACAGTAACTACAAATACTAGAGCAACTTGTCTTGGAATCCAAGCCTTGGGAACTCCTCTATCCCAGAAGTCGCCGCGTCTTATGGCATGCAGGTAACTGTCATAATGGATCACTTGATGAGTCACTGGGACAGGGAGAAGAGTAATTTGATATCAACACTGCAGAGAGTGCGTGTTTTGATCAAGTGTCAAACAGACACGTTGGCAGAACAGACAGGAGATGTGGAAGATAGGCAGCGGTTTCAGTCTCTATTGTCTTGACAAACTCCTTACTACTTTACTGTGGGCTTGCTTTGTGCTCACAGGCCAGCTGGGGAAGTACAGCCTGCCTCTGTCAGTGTTCCTTTGGTAGAACAATGACTCACTTCCCTAGGTAAATAACTTCAAACAGAAATGTGGTATCATCTCATTCTAGCAGTACTCAAGTGCAGTAAACATTCTTGTGTCAAAACTGTGCTTCTCATTTAACCCTTGGGGATGCAAACATAATCCAAGGTACTGTATCTTGATCTGCTCCTTAGTTCATTTTACTGTAGATTCTGAAAAGCTGAGTGATACTCTGGTCAAACCAGTTGCAAAACCACTGCAGGTATTTTTGTACAGTGAAAAAAAATTACTTGTTTCTACCTAGAAGCTGTACTCTGTCAGGCTAATCCCACACACAACCTACTGCACAAAAAATACCTCTTTCAAAACTTGCACTTAAGAGTACCTGCAATGTAGTCTCAAGGTTTTTCTGATACTGGCTGCTTCCCTCCAGATATCAGTCTTCAGCTGGTTTCAGAGTGTGATGCTGATTCAACACTACCTTAACATCCAAAGAGTATTTTTCAGCTTTTTGAATAACTTGTATAGACTTAATCTGTTTGAGAATTTGTCATGTTTTGAAATGCAACAGTGACAAACTGTAACCATCCCATCTATTTATAAGGAGTTTTTAACATGCAAATTCGTAGCAAGTCTCAAAAAAAAAAAATCCAGTATACTTTACGCCAGTTTTCCTTTTATGGTCTTGGGAGAAATTCAAATGTTTCTCAGCCAGCTCTGTAGGGAGTTGGACACAGCCTTAACTAATTCTCAGAGATACGTGTATCAACAAATATTTTGCTGTCTGAATGCAGCAATTCTCCATTTACTTTGGTAGGACTATATTACTCTCCAGAGAGGATCTTGGCCTATAGTATTTAGGCTCCCTAATCTGGTTAGTAATTGAGGCTTGGAAGGTAATATATAAACATACATTGTGGCCTGCTCCATCAGTCACTGTTCAGCGGTCTCTGCATCATAGTGCTAGTGACGTGATTAATCTAAGAACTAGAATTTACAAATAAATGAATACTTTTTTTTCCCTTTTTTAATGGCAGTGAATATACAGTGGTTTTTTCTTAAAATAAATACTGTACGGTGTGGTCTGAGGGGGGTTTTCCAAGGAAGGAAGGAAGTAGCAGCTGATCAAACACTTGCCAAAGCAGTGGCTTGGCTTATATTGATCTGAATGAAAACTAAAACTTTAACTGAGCAGTTCTTGGATTGGTTCTGGTATAAGTAGCAATGCTCAGTGCTCGTATTCTCATTATGTCATTTGTTACTCAAGGAACATTGTCAAGAAGGCATGCCAGGTGATGTAACACAGCTGGTTTTGAAAGGGAGAGTTCGTTGCTGGCATTTTGTTCCTTTGCAGCATCCTTGGGGTTATTTTCTCAGTATTTTTCAATCAAAAATATTGATCCTAAGAGCAGTTTGCTGTTGAAGCACCTGGCATGTGTGGGTTTCTTTTTTAATGAAACTCTGCATGTGCCTTTACAGTTTGATAAGGATTTCAGTGTTTGGTCTGAATGCTGTCATCCTGCATCATGCACTGGGAGTTGCTCTGATGCACAAGAGAGTCTTTTCTTTGTGTAATTCTTCCCCAGTATGTCTTCTGGTGACATTTACACTCTTGGTCTGGTCTCCACCTACTGTGCCCGCTCTCAGTGTCTGTGTGCCTTGGCTTCTTTGAGCAGATGAGAGGTATAAACATGATATTCCTGGCTTCAATATGGCTTTAGGTACTAAGATGAAGAATTTCAGCCCTGTCTTTATACCAGGCCACTCCTGTCCATGCCTTTTGTGTGGTCCTGAAAATAAGTAGTGTCCCATCTACATCACAAAATGTTGTAGCTGATCCTCAAGATATGCAAGCATGTAGAGTGACTAATCCTGAGGTGCATCCATTGGGATGTCCCTGTAAGTTTTGCCTTGATTCTGTATAACTACCCAATTGCATGCTGCACTTACACACTCTGTTGGCAAGGCACAGCCCTGCTAGTTTAGCCTAGCAAGCATACCCTGCAGATAATGACAGCAGCCCATCAAGACAGAAACATCTGCATCTAGGATCAGGGTACCATAGTCTGCCACAGTGTGGAGCCAGCTGACAGTGCTACACTGTGTTCCTTAAACTTTATTTTTTTTTAGTTTACTGGCTTAAGTCTCTCGGGTTTGTTCAACTGTGAGAGCAGTACCTATTCAAACATAAAATTAGAGAGAGAGTATATTTTACTGAAACTTTAAACCTAATGAAAACATGTATTAACAACCATGGGCTTCTGTGGTACAGTTTGGATGCCTACCCCTAAAATCTCTATTTCTTCTTTGTGTAGATGTTACTAGTTGGTACAGCTGTCATGTCTGAGCTGTACCACCGTTCTCAGAAGAGTGACATTCACCCTGGCAAACCCATAAAGCCCGTTGTGCCCTGGCGAGGGGCGCAGACACATGTTCAGTATGCAGACAGTAAGGGGTGCGGGAGAGCTGCGGTTATTCTTCTACTCAGACAGTTGGAGCAGTGATCTTACGCTACCCAACATCAACCCCATTTCACTTCATACCTTATCCGTAGCTAAATTATTCTGGCTTTTGAGAAGGGAAGTCAGAAGGGGAACCGAGAATTTCATATAATGTGACCACTATGCTACAGGACAGTAAATGTTGCACTGATGGTATGTTTAAATACTGAGATATTTTAAGAATTACTGTAAAATCAATTGTGGAAGCCATTTGTTTTGCTTTGTTGCACAGACTGTACTTACATTTTTTGCATGGTTACATATTTTGGTACTTGTGCCTTTTCTGTTGTGAGGATACATTTTACTTTCACATTTTATCTCCTGTTTTGGGCACTTTTTATATGCACTTGTTTCATTTGATCTTCATCTCTGGTTTTCCTGTAATGTACATGTGTATATATAAAATAGATCAGCTTTGTATTCATGTGCCTCTGAGATGTAAAAAAATACCCATTTTGTACAGGTTTTTTTAGAAGCACTAGGTCGTGATCTAAGTTACATGGCAAATGAAATTTAACATAATTAGCAGTTCTGTGTCTTTTAGAAATGTGTCAGATGGCTGGTCTCTTGTAAGGCAATGTCATACACACACACACTCCCCAGATTTAACTGTTCTACTATCGTTATGAGACCTATCCACTTGTTGGTTTCAGTTAATTCAAAATAATAAAATGCCTAACTCAGTGTTGCAGTCCTGACTTGGCAATTACAGTTTTTATTTGCACTAAAGCCAATTTGCTTCTTTTTATACTTG